TCTGCTCATCCTCACAATGAACAACTGATTTTACTTTCAAGCGCCGTACGGCTTCCTTTAAAATTGACTCGGTTGGCTTAGATTTAACGCTAGTCTCATTGTGTTCGCCCGGTAGAGTCGAAGGCTGTTGTGGATGTGGCTTAATGATGCTCTCCATTTCTTTGGCATGCGCTGTTGCAATTTGTGGTGGCGTGTCGGCAGTTGGTGAAGGCTTTCTGACACGCAGCTGGCCGTTCGATTTTGCTGTTTTTGCAGCTTGCCGTTGGGATAGCAACAATGCGCGTAAAGCTTCCGCCTCCTCTTCATCACTACACTCCTCCGGTTGATCTTGTGTATCTTCGGGTATTATATCCATGCTGGCCGATTTCGGAGAGGCGCTCATTCTACGTTGTCCATTTAACACTTCATTTTTAATACAATTTTCCAGCGCGTCACCGGCAACTGCTGTCTGAGCTACCTCGGACATTGGTAACGGCGGCATCGTTGGCATCGGTATCATCGTCGGTGGCATATCGATTTGTGTGCCGAAATGCATTGGCGGCATGTACATATCGAAGGGCATGGATTTGGCGTGATTATGGTAATCGTATGGTATTGGTATGCCCATACCTTCCAAAGGCGCACCACCTGGCGGCAGCGGTATGTCGTGCGTATGCTGTGAATATATACCATCTGCGTCGACAACATTCGACGTGCTCTCCTCCCGTTCGCTATCGCTGCATGCAATATCCATATCGACAGGTTTATTATCAACCTGATGCTCTATTGTCTCCAGGCTTATGTTGCTATTTTGTTCATCGTCGCAGTGTATAGGACTGAGTATTAAATTTGGCGAGCTAGCCGGACTTATTTCCATATCACCCTCCAACTCTTCGATATCGGAGGCGACAGGGCTAACTGGCTCAGCCAGTAGATCATCAAAATCTGTAGGGGAATAGGCAATCTCGGCGTTGCGTTTTTTGCGCGTCGCATGTTTTTTCATTATCGCCGAACGCAGTGCAATCAAACGCAACTCCTGCTCTTCAATTGACATGGAATCGTCACTATTGAGTTCGACCACATTGTCTGCGTCATTTGAATACGGTGTGGATTCTTCAAGCGTTTGTACTTTTTCTTCAATGATTACTTCCGCATACTTATCCGGCTGTAAGCGTTCTTTTAATGAGCAAATATTATTTTTTCTTTCTGCTACACCGCGTCCCAAAGCCAATCGCAGTTCCTCACGACTCAAAGGCAGCGTTAAATTACCGTCGTTCTCATCTGCGCTCTCAATATCCATGGTAGCTATTGAATAGTTGTCTTTTTCATATTCACTATTATCGGTTGTGTCAAGAGATATTGTTTCAATGCCACGATTCTGATAGTAGGGATTTAGCAAACGTTCTCTACGATGGTGGTGACGCTTCTCCCCATGCGATTGACTTTTACAATGCTTTTGGCGCTGATGCGCGCAACGATGAGCTCGCTGTTGCAGACGCTTACATTTGCCCTTTTTATTCCTTTTGTGCTTTTTCTTCTTCGGGGAAGGAAATTCATCTGATGAAATTGAGGATACATCGGTGGGTACTTGGCCGGCGCGTTGTACAGCTTCCCAGTCGCTGTAATCGTTCAGTCTATACATGTCATCTGAACGGGAAAGTGCAACAACATGGCAAAAGTACAGAGCAATGTAACAAACAGCTAAAAAATGCTTTAAAAAGAGGGGAAATGTCGGCATGTTTCATAACATACTCTTAGACTAATTAATAGGAGCTACTCCACTAAGTCCTTAACATTTTTTTTTTATAACCAATTATCAGGTTTTGTATGTTTTTAAAAACTTTTTAGTATGACGTATGCATTTTAAGTTGCAAAACAGTTCGATACATAACTTATAATATAATTTTTATGAATTAAAGAACCAGCTTAGAATAACTACTAAAAAGTGCTTTCTGAAGTTCGTCATACAAAACCTTTTCTGGAAGCTCTTCAAAAAAGAAACGAGAAACAAATGCTAATTGGAAGGCCTCTTGACTCTAAGGAAGGACTTTTAGAGGGATTTTTAGCTCTCCAAATTAACTATCGGGAACGTACATACAGCAAAGCTTGTAAAGATAAACGCGGTATAAGGTCTTTCAAAAAATAGCACTCTTTTTGCTTTGCCTTGTAGTAAAGAAAATGTAAAACCAACCCCTTGACTGTGTCGCCACTAATGTAAAGTGAAGAGCAATAGTTACCTGAACTAATGAAGTAACTGTATTACGTAGCAGTAAAGCAACTCATGATCTAATAAAAAAAATTATGTCAGAAATTAGCATCTTACCATTTCGTTCATGAAAACATAACATAATCGACTCAGGCTTATATTTCATATGATAAGCGTGCGCTATCGCTTAATAACCTTGTATGTACTTAACCCAAATCGACCTCGTATTGCCATATGGCAACGCAAAACACATCATGTATGGAAGGGTGTAAAACAAAAACCACTTACTTAAAAATGCTTAAACTAAATTAAGTGACAGAAAATCATCGAAATGTTTTATATGAAAAAAGTAAGCATAAATTTATAGCAAGTGTTTTTTATTTACAAAATGTGACAGTGATAAAAAATTAGCTAATACATTAGTCGACTCTATTGGTAACAAAAAACAATAAAAACCAATAGTGCATGTTAGATAATTTCAGTGTTTTTCAGCCCGTTTCCATATGGCAAAAAGGGGCGTCATGAGAACTGTGTATTGGAGGGCGTAAAACAAAAACGGTTTACTTAGAAATGTTTATGTATATGTACGTTAACTAATTGCTACCTTAGTTTAATCTGGCCTTCGCTGAGCCGCACATAGACCCGTAGTGTTACCAGTTGGAGCTCGTTCTTACGCGTTAAAGAATACATCACAAAGGATGTCAACGCTTTTTGCGAATTTCAGTAGAAATTTCTAATTTACTTTTAAAATGTCCTCTAATTTCTCGAAATGGTGGGCTCCCAAGCATTTTAATCTTCTTTTTGACAGTCGACCGAGTAGATGCTTCAACATTTCCCTGGTCTCCCACTCACGTCACTCCCTGCAATTGTCCACGCCAATGATACCAATTTTTTGTGCAGGAGAAGCAACCAGGATATACCTCGTAAGCAATACGGTAATAACTCTGCAATCTTTCTATGGTGCAGTGCTGCGACGCGCTGAAAATTTTCAATCGGCCCCAGGTATGAGGACTTTCTTTCGGAATTCCACCACACCATATTGGTCTGACTATTGCTGTGTAGAACCAGGGCAGGTGAATGGCGCCAAATGACTCCCAGCATTATTTTACATGCATTAAGGGTGCTACTGGCCTTCTTCACCCTTTAATCAACATTGCGCTTCCACAGCTGCTTACTATCCAACTACTTTCAAATACTTTGTGTGGTCTTTAGTTGACAGCTTGATTCAACTAGCCACGGGGGGTCTCCACACTGGGACCTTATATCTTCTTGTGACTACACCACTTACCAATTCAAATTCACAAACAACGTCGTTGTGCTGGTGAAGCATGTAAAATTAGAGCACGAGTAGTCTGTGTAAAATGTGATGTGGGTTTATGTTTGAAATGTTTTTGCTACTTTTCCTACCAATATTGAACTCCTTATCCGCTTTGAACGTAGAATATGCATACCTATGTATATTATCAATATATATATTAAAACTTTATATATGTATTTATATTATATTATTTTACATTTTAACCAAATATTGTCTGCCGCTGTGGTGTAGTGGTAAGCAGTGCGCGCTTCCACTCCGCAGCGCCTGGGTTCAAGCCCTGGTAAAAGCAACATCGCAAAAAAATTTATAAAAAAGGGTTTTTCTTAACAGCGGTCGCCCCTCGGCAGGCAATGGCAAACCTCCGAGTGTATTTCTGCCATGAAAAAAGCTTCTCATAAAAATACAATCGCCGTTCAGAGTCGGCGTAGAACTGTAGGTCCCTCCACTTTGTGTGAAAATATAACGCGCACGCCACAAATCGGAGGAGAAGCTCGGCCAAACACTAACATATGTGTAAAAGCCAATCTATTACGGCCGAAGTCGGAGGAACAATACTACTCCCAAAGTTTTAGTCACGTTTTTTCCTTTATAGGGAATTTACATGAGGCGATTTTTCAGGCGATTTTTAGTTGAAAGCAACAATCGCCTGGTGTAAACGGCCTTTCAACAATCGCTTTCAATGAAATTGGTCGGCTGCCTACTTTCGTTCAACTTTTGATTCAACTTATCGCCTGCGCCTGTATATAGAAGCCAAAAAATCGAAAAAAATTTTATCTGGGACAATTTGGGTTAAAAGCTAGAATTTCAATCTTTGGGAATATGCTTACTACACATGACTTCATACTTCATACATGCATGCACTTCATACATATGTATGTACATATATGTGCGCATGAAAACTTGATATTATGTACATAAAATCATATCTGTTACTGCGTGCTTAGTCTTTGCGAAAAATGCATTGTGAGATTAAAGCCCAACTTGGAATCAGGCTCAATAATCTAAAGGATGCAATCTATACAAATGTGTGTACATACACTTACCATATTTGTACGCATAGCATTCCGAAATTCTTTTAATTTTTTCATATTCTGCATTCTCTTCCTCCAGTTCGTTGATACGTTTTCGCAGACCATCCTCCTCCGAATCGATTTCGCCTTCTTCACGTCCACTGGACATCTTTAAGCGAGTGAAATTTGGTTGAAATGCTTAAAAGCACTATTAATTTACAACTTTATAAATGTTTTAAGCTTCTAATCTCACTAAAATTAAATGAAAAACAAGAAAATGTCGCGCCCGAAACTCAACTACTCCAAAATGGCAAATTTTTTCACAGAAATTAGTGCATTTTCCGCTTTGACAGAAGGCACCGGGTGACAAAGATGGAAAAATTATTCTAATAAGTGTCATAACTATACGTTCTCTGCTTTCAGTGAAATTACCGTCAGAGGTCACCCAAGCAGGCAATTTCAACATTTTGACATTTGGTTTCGTTAAATTACTGTTCAGAGGCGTTATGGCCGTTTCCGGTCTTTTTCACAAAGTTGCTTGAGCAAATATGCAGCAAAAAGTAAGTTTGCTTATAAAATTTTATTTGTGGCAATTGGATTAACCTTTATCGTTTTCGTAAATTGCAGCGCAGAGAACCCGTGCACGCCGTGCAAGTTTTCGGACGCAAGGTAAGCTAGAGTGAACAATCAAGTATTGAATCTGCCGTGACGCACGTGCCGAACGCTGCCCATTATTGGGGAAAAGTACTAATTGAAAATTTCTATTATTGCAGAAAACCGCCACTGCTGTTGCTTACTGCAAGCGTGGACGTGGTCTCTTGAGGGTGAATGGCCGTCCTTTGGAACAAATTGAACCTAAAGTGCTGCAATACAAATTGCAGGAACCACTTTTGCTGTTGGGCAAGGTGAGTTGTTTGTGATGCAGGGATGTGACGTTGCGCTTGACAAGCGCCGCAATACGTGATGAGTTCGACTTATCCCGAAATTGAACCAAATGAAAATAGTTATTAAACTGATGGCGTTTGTAAATTATAACTTTATGTTAGTTTTGCATCAAATATTTACGGATATTTACTCTTTTTGCAGGAAAAATTCGCTGGCGTAGACATTCGTGTGCGTGTTAGCGGTGGTGGTCATGTTGCACAAATCTATGCTATTCGTCAGGCCATTTCCAAGGCGCTGATTGCTTTCTACCAAAAATGTGAGTTTTCATAATATGCAATATTTATTAAGTATGTAGTCGTATGGCTCGAAAGCTTGGAACCCGGTTAATACCAGATTTTCGGTGGATAAAAATTTTCCTCTCGAAAGATGAAAACACGGGAAAGCAAAGCTATCAGGCAAATACCAATCATTCCTACTACTATAGAAGGCGTGAGTGATGCCCGAGTTACAAGAAGGTATATTTTATATTTTGACCACTATTTGTTACCAGTTTAGGTTTAGTACTAATATACCGGTTAATACCAGATTTTCGGTGGATAATTAATTGCCTCTCGAAAGATGAAAACACGGTAGACTAAATATTCAGGCGAATACCAATCACATAATTGGCTCATAAGTCGTTTGTGAGTGATGCTAGATTTACAAACTAATGAAAAATGTTTTTTTTTTCCTAAATATTTGGCGATATGCTATTTATGCCGGTTAATACCAGATTTTCGGTTGGAACACGAAATTCCTCTCGAAAGATGAAAACGCGGTAGACTAAATATTCAGGCAAATACCAATCACATAATTGGCACATAAGTCATATGTGAGTGATGCTAGATTTACAAACTAATGAAAAACGCTTTTTTTTTCCTAAATATTTGGCGATATGCTATTTATGCCGGTTAATACCAGATTTTCGGCTGGAACACGAAATTCCTCTCGAAAGATGAAAACGCGGTAGAATAAATGTTCAGGCAAATACCAATCACAATATTCCGATTAGCTATTGTGAGTGATGCTCGATTTACATTTTATGCTCTTTATTATTTTTTTCTTTGCTAGAATTGCTTTGAATCAACCTCTTATAGTACTTAAGTATTCTTTTTTCTTATTTTGCAGACGTTGACGAGGCCTCCAAAAAGGAAATCAAGGACATCCTCATCCAATACGACAGGACTTTGTTGGTCGGCGACCCACGTCGCTGCGAGCCGAAGAAATTTGGTGGTCCAGGTGCCCGTGCTCGTTACCAGAAATCATATCGTTAAGCTTTTATGGCGATATGCGATTAGTTATATTTTAAGGTGTACACTCTTGAAGGAAAAAATACATATTTTCATTTGAAAAATGGACATTGTGGTTGTTCTTCACACTTGCCTGGTTATCTGGTTATGTGCGGTTAACCAACGCACAGCATTACATACGTAGAATTCTGTTGGTTTTTGACTTCTACGTCTACGTAAAAATGGTATAGCAGTGCATGCACTGCCAAGTATGTACATGTATGTAAGTACAGAGGATTTATAAGCTGAAATTAGTCGAGAACGCAGAACGTATACTTAAACGCTGTCTGTATACGCAGAATTTTGTCGATTACTGGAGCCCTCAGTGTTGCTTACTACACTGTTGCCACTCATCAATGCTTTTTCATAAACTTACCCTTTCAACTACAATTTTTCGTGCTATAATAGATTTTAGCTAAATATAAACTACTTAGTTTTCAACAAAAACCTTATTCAATAGTAAATTTCAAATATTTTAAACATATTTTGAGTAGGAACTTATATCTTTTTTACCATCTGTAAAACTGACGAAGTGGCAACCATCTAAAGAAGGAGAAATCAGCTGACACGGAAAAATCTAAATTCCGCAGATTTCTACGCTACGGGCTACAACTACAGAAAAATTCTGCGGTGTTGAGTTTCCATTTACATGGCGCTTTGGTAAGACAGGTCGTGTCAGCTGACTCGGGTTTACGTACCGGTAGGTTTACGTTCTTGACTAATTTCAGCTATAGCCCAGCTATGCATACTTCACTGCTATACCATTTTTCGTAAAAATCAAAACCCAACAGAATTCTATCAACAATCTAGCTATGACAAAACCAAAAATATGGCTCGATAGGACTTTTTGTGTTGATTTCAACCCTTTCTGGCGGAAGTAAAAAATAAAGAAGATATCAATGGTTAAAGCTAAT